GGGTTGCGGCTGCAGGTCTGCTCTCCATCGGTCAGGAGTAGCATGACCTTCGTGACACTTGAACGGCCAGTATCGAGCAGCTGCTCTCCCATGAGGAGCCCGTTGGAGATGAAGGTCCATCCCTCGTCGCCGGTTCTGTAAACCTCAATGGCATCTGCGAGGGCGCCAGCGTTGAAGGTGAGATCACTGAGCTTGGTCGTGTCGGAGGCAAACTGTACCAGCCCCACGTTAGCGACTGTCTCGGCGACATCCAAGGAGTCCACAACTTTCTGCGCAAACGTCGCCACGTCGCCCCGGCTGTTTTTTATGCTGCCGCTGGCATCCAGAATGATCACCAGATCGCCGACCAAGCGGCCCTGGGCAGTCACCGCTGGGAGCAATGCCAGAGAGGAGGCAAGCAGCAGCAGAGTTGAGGCGTAAGTGCGGTGACAGGGAACCATCTGTTAGGGGCAGGGCGTGTCATTTGTGGTGAACACCTTCGTGAGCGTGGGAGAGAGAGTGCCGCTGGATCGAGCGACCGCGGGCAAGGGCAGGCAAGGCGGCATCGACGTGGTGGGAGCGGCTTGCGAGGGTAGGCGGGGAAGCTGCGGCGCGTGCGAACGATACTGAGCGCGCGGAGCGAGAGGCATGGGTAGGCGCACGGTTCGGCGGCTACAATGTGAGAAAGGATGACACCACGCTCGCTCGTGGTCCTTTACGATTTCAAGTATCTTGAGCACTTGAGCACTGGATAGGGCCGATTCCGCGTGGTACGGGACCCCTCGATCGTCTCGCCCTCCCTCACTGGTATGTTCATTGGGGGGGGTCATAACAAACACGGTACAGGATCGAGGTGCACGCTGCCGAAGCAGTGTCGTCCCCCCTCTCCCCGACGGCGATGGCGGTGTGACCGATCGAGCTACAAGAGGAGCTTGGTCAGCAGGATCCGGGATAGTCTGATGCACTACCTCACTGGGCCTGAGACCATCAGCCAGCATCCCGTCACCGTCTCGGGTTTGTGTGGGATCGAACCACTCCGGGATGGGCAAGCCCATCGTTCATTGTGCCTTTTCCCACCTGCGCGCGAGGTGGCGTGGTCATGTGTGCCATATCAACCGTGTGGCGGGCAGGGGAGTGAGGGGGAGAGAGGGGAGGGGGGCGGGCGTGGCAGGGGCTCAGCCAGCGCAGAGGTCAACAGAAGAGCAGTAGACATAGCAACTTCTAGACGTACTACACACACAAAGAACATAGCCCACTCACACGTGGCATGAAGTCACTTCAGGCGGCTCCACCCTTCGAGATGTAGTACACACACACAAGGAACACGGCCCGTACAGCGCCAGTTCGAGTCAGCGACCCATCCCCCCGGGCCCCCCCACAGGGCCCTCCGTGCGCTTCCGGCCCGCCTCCCTCCGGCTGCGCGATTTTTGGTGCTTGCTCTTCGAGGTTCGCTTCCCCCCCCCTGCCGGACCCCCCCGGTCCCCCATCTCCCCAAACACGCCTCCCGCCTCCCCACCCTCCACCCCCACCGGCTCCTCCTCAATCGGGTCCCTCCCCCGCTTCCTCCCCCGCTCCCCCGCGACGCCCCCCCCTTCCCGCCCCACGTCGCCCCCTCCGCCGCCTCCCCCCA